TGACATATATACAAGTAGATTAGCCTCTATCTATCGCTCTCTATGTTGAGTTTCAATAAAAAAAGAAAAAAAATGTTTTGATTGAACAGTTATGTTTCACTTCCTTCTACATATTCTCCTGTATTAATACAAAGATTGTTTCAAAAATGTTGTATAGCAATAAGCAATTTATTTACAAAGTATTTCAAAGCCTTACCTGAAACTGTTATGATCAACCTTTACACTTTATCAGCAAATATTGGAATACAATTAAAAAATATGAAAATGAAAACATTTCTCTAAATATTGGAATTCATTGTGATGCATACTGATAGAAACAACAAGTTGAAATAATCAGTGATGCAATCCGTTCACACAAGTACATGTAATTTACTATACTATCAGACATGGCAACACTGTACAACTCAAAAATTAATAGGTTTAATGCACACTGTTTCCATGACAACTACAGATGCCAATCAGTGGAATGATACAAGTATTTTTTTTGAAAATTATCTTGTGCATGATATAGTAATATTAATGATGGTAATTTTGAAAAATCCATTGATGTTTGGGAATAAGTTATTTATTATTTCATTGGAATATGAAAGTACTTGTATATGCATTTATTATTTCACAGGGACATGAAAGTACTGGTATATGCATTGATTTATGGAGAACAAATTTTTGCTGGGAAAAATACATGTTTTATCAGAGAGTTGGAGAACTTGATTTTTTTACAAATAAATGGAAAGCATTCCATGTACTTTTGAGTACTATGGAAGAACCCCATGCTCACCCTGATGTTTGTGATGAATCAAAGTTACTTGGTATTTTTATGCAAGTGAAAATACAACAAGGATACACTACATCAAAGAATAAACATGCATTTTAAAGACGTCAATTAAATAACATTCATTTGCATATCTTTTGAATGTGAATGTATTTTAAAGACAAAGCTAACTCTTGTTACCTTTACAAAATAAACTCAGGTTGCAAAAAATACAGTGCTAAGTATTTTGGGGAAATGAACTACATAAACTGTCAATCAAAATAACAAATCAATGCACTTAACATCATTTAAATATTGTCATTGTCTATACTATTTTATGTTTAGTAAATATTTGTAGTCAAATTACACCCGTATAAAAGTGACGCTATATGATGACTTATATATCTAACACTCAACAGGTTAAGTAGAAACAAAATGACTGTGCATCATGTGTTCAAAAAGTCATCAAAACTGTAATCACAATGTACATGTACTTGTAATGTAACAGACCCCATAATACAAACCATTTTGTACAAAATTGTCAGCATTCCATTGAGACAATGGCATATGTTGTCAATAAGCTGAGAAATATAGTGTATGGTTTGTGTGACAAATCAAAGGATGATTTCAATGCTAGCATACTTTAGTCATTACAACAAATATAGTATTACATGGGATCCTACTCGTCCTTCTTAATAGTAAAATGTCAAACATAAAATAAACATTATTAATTGGTAGAGGGATACTATAAAAAATAATCACCAAAACCATTTGCATTATTGTGTTTTGCCACTCCAGATACATCGCCTTGTTAAATAGAAGGTACTGGTACATTGATGTGTAACTGTACACTGTTCTAACTTATATGGTCTCAGATCACTACACAAAATAGCCATAAATCTTTTGGAATTACAATGAACATAGCAATAAGTTATTACTGAATGCTACATTCACAATGGTCATCAAGAGTGAAGTACTACAGAACTACTACAATTCCATGGGTCTAATTTATAATATATTAATGCAGAGGGGATGATGCTGGCTGGAGAGGCCTTTAGCTGTCTTCACCATTTAACAAAATTTTCAGGCTTGTAATTTTCATGAAATATAAACATTGATTGGAAAATATTTGTCATATAACAAATGTGCTCTTTGTCATGTAACCATGTTAAAGGTATAATAAAATATAATTTTATGTTATAGACTATTATAGTGTGACAGCCTATAGAGTATGAATTAATTTTAAATTGACGTTGGTTGACATTAGTGTATGCTACAAGCACAAATTTTCTATGAAAACTGAGCAATATCTCTTTTATACCATGTGACCACTCCATCTTTATGAAGCTGATGCATGAGTGCGATTTCTCTCTGATAATCATGACTACCAGTTACTTTGTCATATTTGACATAGTCTTTATCATAATAATGCATGCTATAATCATAGGTATATCCCATGCCATATATGGTGACGTGATCACATCCTCCATGCAAGGCAGTCATCAACATCATACCTCCTGTAGTAGACGAAAGATTTGGTATTTCCCAGCTGCATAAATAAATAACATAGATATAAA